AAGGACAACATGGAGGGCGGGATCCACAGATCCCAAAGGAAAAAAAAAAAACAGGTTCCAAAAAGAGCCGAGATCATCGGGAAGCCCCAGATGGGGTAGGTACCGCATCCCGCCTCCCCCAGATGGAACCCCGGTGACCAGAAGCCTCTACAACCACAGCTCGAGTATGCGGGAACTTGGACTTTTCCTCAAAACCTCGCAGCTGCTCACGCGGCCGCGCGACATCTCTCTATATACAAAGTGATTCATGGGAAGTAAACCACCCAACGTTTCTCTCTGAAAATCATAGTTAAGTTTGGAGCACAGCCACAGCCCCAGAAACACAAGGACTTAATGCATAACCCAGCAGCTTGGAGCAGAAAAGTGAACGGGCTATGCGTTAATCCAGGCCATCATGACTGTCCGGAGGGGAAAGGGTGTTGCCCCATTCGCCCTCTCCTCTCTGGAAAGAAAGATGGCGGCCACATGGGAGCCTTGTGGACAGCAGGTATGAGCCGGGGGTGTGGGGGTGACTAAAACCTCATGGGAAAGGGGGCGTTCCGGTCTGTCCTTCACGCCCTAATGAGGTCACCAGTTGCCCCCCGCGAGCGGCTCTCCAGCACGGCCACGGCCCCAGAAGCACAAGGACTTAATGCAGAACCCAGCAGCTTGGAGCAGAAAAGTGAAAGGACTATGCGTTAATCCAGGCCATCATGTCTGCCCAGAGGGGAAAGGGTGTTGGTCCCTTCCACCCTCCTCCCTCTGGAAAGAAAGATGGCGGCCACATGGGAGCCTTGTGGACAGCAGGTATGAGCCGGGGGTGTGGGGGCGACTAAAACCTCATGGGAAGGGGGGCGTTCCAGTCCATCCTTCACGCCCTACCGAGGTCACCAGTTGCCCCCCGTGAGCGGCTCTCCAGCATGGCCATGGCCCCAGAAGCACAAGGACTTAATGCAGAACCCGGCAGCTTGGAGCAGAAAAGTGAACGGACTATGCGTTGATCCAGGCCATCAGGTCTGTCCGGAGGGGAAAGGGTGTTGCCCCAGTCGCCTTCTCCTCTCTGGAAAGAAAGATGGCGGCCGCATGGGAGCCTTGTGGACAGCAGGTATGAGCCGGGGGAGTGGGGGCGACTAAAACCTCATGGGAAGGGGGGCGTTTCGGTCCGCCCTTCACGCCCTACCGAGGCCACCAGTTGCCCCCCACTAGCGGCTCTCCAGCACGGCCACGACTCCAGAGCACAGAAACCAATTTCTTAACTATCTGACTTTCAGTAGAAATACTTCCAGGGTCAATAAGTAAAATAGCAGAAATCCAAAACCAACATATAATTCTTGAACCCAGCTATAGAAAGCAAATCACTTCACAATGCTTTGTCAGCATGTCTGATTTGGGGGTGGGGGGGTAAACTCTAAATAATAGTGGTGAATCTTTTATTGAAACAATGAATCTAATCAAAGCAGATAGAGTGTTAACTAGAATTCATCTGCCCCACAGGGACGGGGAGGGGTGGGGGGGTGGGGTTTTATTGGGGTTCTTCATGGTAAAAAATAAGTTTTGGTAAAGGGAAATGTGCTTGATATTTGCATGACTGAGACCTAAACCTGAAAGCTTTGTAACCTTTCCCATGGTGATTCAATAAATAAATAAATAAATAAATAAAATCCACAATTAATATCTTGTCCCACGGATGAAATCTGACAGCTTTCCAACTGAGATTAGAAACAAAACAGGGATACCTGCTTTACTCAAGAATACATTAGAAATTCAAGAAGTTCAAGCCGGAACACCTAAATAGGAAAAAGAAATAAAAGCCACGCAAACTGCAAAGAAATAAAATATCTATTTTCAGATATCATGAATCAATAGGGAAGCCAACAAAGGCTATTATAGGTAATAAACAAATTCAACAAAGTTTAACAATACAAAAGCAATATGCAAAAATCTTTCATATTTTAGAAACAGCAACAAATACTCAGCAATGATGAAGGAAATAATTCTATGCATAAAAACATCAAAAAGAATAAATCATGAGAATAAATTTAACTAAACTTGTACAATCCTTGTATAAAGCATTGCTAAAAAAAATAAGATTTAAATATAGAAAGAATGAATATTGTTAACAGAGAAATACATACAAAAGTAACCGAAAGAAACCAGAGCAACAGTACAGTGGGTAGGGCATTTGACTTGCACGTGGCTGACGTGGATAGGATCCCGGGTACCCCATATGGTCCCCTGAGCACCGCCAAGAGGAATTCCCAAGTGCAGAGCCAGGAGTAACCCACAAGTATAGGGGGTGTGGCTACCCTACCCCCACCCCTGCCTCCTGCCTCCTGCCCCCACCCCCCACCAAAAGTGATATACAAATTCACTAAAATCCTGTCAAAATCCCAAACTGACTTTCTATGCTTAAATAAAATGATCCTGAAATTTCTCCAGGGGTTGGCGCTATAGCACAGTGGGTAGGGCATTTGCCTTGCACACAGCCGACCTGGGTTCAATTCCCAACATCCCATATGGTCCCCCGAGCACTGCCAGGAGTAATTTCTGAGTGCAGAGCCGGGAGTAACCCCTGTGCAATGCCTGGTGAAAGCAAAAATAATAATGAAATAAAAAAAATTTCTCCAGAGGTTATACAAAATGGAAAAAAAAATATCATGGATGAAAAACCAACCCATAGATTGGAAGAAAATATTCACACATCATACATAAAAGGGTTAATATCTAAGATATTCAAATATTCTCAAAGCTCAGCAACAACAAAAATAACAATAAACAATCCCATCAAAAATGGGAACGAGGACTGTAGAGTATTATAGAGGGCAGGGAGCCTGCCTTGCACACAGCTGACCTGGGTTTGATAATTACACCGAATATGGTTCCCAAATGTCCCCAGGAGTGCTTCTTGAGTGCAGAGCCAGGAGTAAGCCCTGAGCACAGCCCAAGATGTGGCTCAAGATGTGGCCCAAGAAATAGCAACACCAAAAATGGGGATAAGATGAAAAGACATAAATAAAAAAATGTTTATTGTCATTATCAGGGAAATGCAAATCAAAATGAAAATGAGGTAACAATTCATACCAGCAAGACTGTTATATATCAAGAAGTCTGGAAACAATTAAATGCTGGTGGGTAAGTGATAAAAGAGGAACTCTTATCCATTGCTGGAAACTGTTACTTGGTTCAGTATCTTTGGAAAAAATTTGAAGACGTCTCCAAAAATTAAGTATAGAGGGGCTCAGGAGATAGTATACAGAGTTTACGGCACTTACCTTGCATGTGGCTGAGCCAGTTTCAATTCCTGGCACTATATATGATCCCATGAGCACCCCCAGGGGTGATCCTTGAGCAAAGAGCCAGAATTAAGCCTTAAACTAGTTATACCCCCAAACCACCACTCCCCCCAAAATTATGAAGTTTCCATATGCCTCTGTGATTCCACTCCTGGATATCTTCCCCACCCAAGAACACAAACATTTTAATCCAAAAAGGCACCTGTATGCCTATGTTTATCACAGTATTATTTACAATAGCCAAGATTAGGAAACAATCCAAATGCATAATAAAAGATTAGTAAAGAAATTGTGGTATATATACATATGCAAGGCATGTCTGGTGCTGCCAGTGACTGAAGTAGAAAGAATAGTTTTCTAATTCCCACCTTCAATGGAATTGATTACACCAAAGGAAAAAAAAGGAGATTTGGCAAGTATGAGTTTGTAATAAGTAGACTGAAATATTCATCAAAATAAACTTAGCAAATTCAGCAAATCAAGAACACAAATATCCTATATACATGTATCTTAATAGTAAACACCATAAAAATAGGGTTTTCAGCAATAAATGAATACTAATACAGCCATGTCCTAAAATAATTACCCTCAGTCAAGAAACTACTCAGAAGCTACTGATTTGCTAGAAAGCAGATTCTTAGAAACAAAATAATATACTAAACTATTTCAGGTATTCTCAAAGCCTGGCAACTGAAATAAAAATAGATAAGTCAGGACAATAATAGCAAATTAATATAAGGGCTAATAATATATTCTCAATGACATTTAAAATGTGATAAAGATACCAAAAGTCATCTGTGTAAAAAAAGCCCTCTAGAGAAGAACAATATAATAAATGTTTTATGAGTATAATAAATGTTTTCCTAATAAAGAATACATTTTTAAATTAATGTATGCATACTGCATATGAGAGTCCCAGGTTCAATCCTTGGCATGCATGGTTCCCCCATCACCAGCATCATAAGCAATGCCCAAGCACCAAGCTGATAGAAGTTCTCACACACTGCCAGATATGGACCCCATATTTACACATGTATGTGTATTTATATATATGTGTGTATGTTTATATATGTATATATATTTGTGTGTTTTAGGTGATATATATCATATATGTATCAATGCTTATACTAACAAAGAAATTATACATGTAGATATGCATCATACATATCACTAATTGAAATAATACACCCAAATGTCTAAGAACTATAATTCCCCCAAATTCAAAATCCCTTATTTGAAAGCATCTGGAGAAAAACAGTACGTGACATTATTGTGATAGACTATAATAAAACGTTCTTTTCTGTTCAGATACTAAAGCAAGCCAAATATTAGTGGTTACTCCTATCTATAACATCAGCCTACATCAACAGCTGGACTAAGTTTCAAATTTTCTCTCTTCATAGATGACTACTTTAAATATTAGCAGAAGATACTGGAAACCTTGCAATGTAGCAGCACCAAAAATATGGGATATCAATTACATATGGAAATGTACATAGGAGAATGGTTTGTTCTTATTTACTTGTTACTTATTCTTAATTATTTCATCTTCATCATCACTATTATTATTTTGCTTCTTTTTGAAACTACAAAATAGGGTTTTTTCTAAATGTCCTTGATTCCATAAAATCAATTATATCAAGACATATTTATACTTTTCTATTTTGAAAAAAATTGCCCTTCATACCATCCCAGATTTCCTTTTTTTTTTTCTTTTTTCTGTCTCACCTGGCTAGTTCTTTAATTAAATTTGCAATGCGTCTTTTGTCTTCAAGACATAAATCCTTCAGTGATGCACTCTTTATTCCTCTCCTGCAAAAATTCTACAAGAAACAGACAAAACACCATTTGGTCAACTTATACTAAACATGTTTTAAAATCTTTTAAGTTCTCTTAAAATAAGCACAGGAGGTAAAGTATCTTAGTTACCTTTGTTCTAGTGGAACAAAGCACAGCGGTACGGCGTTCGCCTTACACGCGGCCAACATGGCCGACCCGAGTTCGATTCCTCCGCCCCTCTCGGAGAGCCCGGCAAGCTACCGAGAATATTCTATATGCCAAACACAGTAACAACAAAGTCTCCAATGGAGTACAACATTTGATCTTTTCTTAAATCTGAGTGGTATCTACTGAACTGTCCTAGGGCATTTGGGTTGTTTCCAAATTTTGGCTATCTCGAGTAATACAGCAATGAATATAGGCATGCATATGTTCTATGGAATTAATGTTTTGTTCTTGAATGGGAGAGATGCTCAGGAATGAAATTTCAGGAATCATACGTAATCGCATGTCTTAATTTTTTGATAAGTCTTCTATTTTCCCAAAAGGCTGAACCAAGTAACAGTCCCAACAAGAGTAAGAACTCATTTTTTTTCTTTTGTTTTTGGCCACATCCCTAAAAGTACTTAAAGTTTCCAGACTTTTTGATATAAAAGTCTTACTTGTGTGAGGGGCTGGAGAGATAGCACAGCGGGTAGGGCATTTGCCTTGCACGCGGCCGATCCAGGTTTGATTCCCAGCATCCCATATGGTCCCCTGAGCACCGCCAGGAGTAACTCCTGAGTGCAGAGCCAGGAGTAACCCCTGTGCATAGCGAGTGTGACCCAAAAAGAAAAAAAAAGTCTTACTTGTGTGAAGGGATCTCATTGTCATTTTGATTTGCATTTCCCTGAACATCAGGATGATGATTATTTTTTGCCTACTGACCATCTTGATGTCATCTTTAAGAAAGTGCTTATTCATCTCTCCCTCAACCACCCTTTTTTTGGATGGAATTGTTTATGTTGCTGAGCTTTAAGGCAATATATCTTGAACATATACCTTGAACATCTTGAGGTATGAGTACTTTCTCCCACATCAGTGGGAGTTTCTTATTTTAGGCTCATTTCTTATAGCAGTGCAGAAGCCTTATAGTATGGTGTAATCCCATTTATTTATTTCTGCTTTTGTTTTCTTTGTCAATGAGATCTTATTAAAAATTACCCTGAGAGGGGATTGCCCTGCCACAGAGGCAGGGTGAGATGGGAGGGATGGGGGTGGGAGGGATATTATCCATGGTGGTGGAAAATGGGCACTGGTGGAGGGATGGGTATTTGATCATTGTATAATCGAAACCCAAGCACAAAAAATTGTAAATCTACAACTGTACCTCATGGTGTTTCACTAAAAATAAAAAAAAATTATGATACTATCACATATAATTAAAGGAGACTAATAAAGGACATAAATAATTATGAGAAAATAAATAAATTACTGAAAAAAAATTACCCTGAGAAAGAGAGGGAAACTGGGGCACTGGTGCTGGGAAATGTACACTGATGGGGAGATGTGTGTTGGAATTCTGTATGCCTGAAACCTAATCATGAACAGCTTTGTAAGGGTCTATCTCACAGTAATTTAATTAAAAATTCTTAAAAAAAAAGAAAGAAAATTACTTTATGGTCAAGATCTTAGGAAGTCCTGCCTATGTTTTCTTCAATGTAAAAACAAGTTTAATATCAAGGTCTTTCAACAAAGGTCTTGAAGTACCTTTATATACAATAAGAAATAGGAGTCCAATTTCATTTTTTTAATGTGGTTATCCAGTTTTCCCAGTACCATTTGTAGAAGTGGTGCTTTTCTTGCTCCACTTCACACACCTAGCATTAATCATAAACTAACTACCCATATATCTGAGAGTATCTCTGAGCTCTCAATTCTACATTATTGATCTCACAGACTTTGTCCTAGTACCATGTTGTTCTGATTAATATGGCTGTGTTGTAAATATTAAAGTCTGGATACAAGGCTTCCCAACTTCTTAGAACTGCTTTGGGTTACTCTGGGAGTGTTATGGTTCCATACCAATCTTACAAGTATTTGTCTATGTCCTTGAAAAATGCTATGGGAATTGCATTGCATCAGTATATTACTTTTGGCTAAGATGGTCACTTTAATCTTTTTTCTTCCAGTTCATGAACAAGAAATATCTATATCCTTGTATCTCTTTTCATTCAGAACTGCTTCACAAATTTCAATATATTTTTCACCTCCTATTAAAGTGATTTCTAGATATTTAAGTTTATATTTTATCATACAAAAAGATTTTTAAAAAATTTATTTATCTTCTGCATTGTAGTTTACCAAATTAATAGAATTAATTTCCATGCACTGATTTTGTAGTCTGCTCCTTTACATATATTTATTGTTTCTAGGAGCTTTTATTGGAGTCTTTAGGGTCTTCTATCTACAGTGTCATGACATCTGAAAATAGTGAGAGATTGATTTCTTTAGCAGTGTGAGTTCCTTTGATTTCTCTTCCTACTTAGTTATGAAGATTTCCAAGACTATGTTGAATAGCAGCAGTAAAACTAAACATTTTGTCTTGTCTGACCTTAGAAAAGGCTTTTAGTTTTACCCATTAAGAACAATGTAGCTATGGGTTAATTGCATATGGCCTTTACAATATTGAGATGCATTCCTTCAATCCCACTGTGTTGGGGTTTCACTGTAAAGAGGTGTTAAATTTTGTCCAATGCTTTCCATGAATCTACTGAGATGATATGATTTTTGCTTTTCCTTTTTATGAATGTGGTACATCACATTAATCAATTTACATATATATATCAAATTATCTTTGTTACCTGGAGACAAATTCCACCAAATCATTGTGTAAAGATATTAATCACTGTATTAAATATGCTAGGATTTTGCTAAGAATCTTGCATTAATTTTTATCAGGATTTCCTCTGAAATTTGCTTTTTTCTGTAATGTCCCTTTCAGCTTTTGAAATCAATGTCTCTCTCAGCTTTTGAAATCAGTCTCATAAAAAAAAACTGTTTGGGAGGATTCTTGCTTCTTCCTGGAAGAGCTTGAGAAGGATGGCTTATATAATTCTCTTTGAAAGTTTGGAGAACTAATTAATGAACCCAGCTAGCCCTTAAGATCTTTGATAGCTCTCAACCTCCTTGTTAGTAAAAGGTCTATCCGAGAATTCTATTTCCTTTTGACTCTAGAAATCTACCAATTTCTAGCTTCCCCAATTCATTGGTGTAAAGTTGTTCACAGTAATCTCATATGACAGAGATGTCTGTTGTAATTTCTCCCTTTTCATTCCTGATCCAATTTATATGCATATCTCTATTTTCCTTTGTGAGTCCTGCCCATGACATGACAATTTTACTAATTTTTTTTCAAAAAGCCAATTCTTAGGTTTCACTTGAGTTTTTGTACTGTTTTTACTGATGTATGCTCAGATTTTGATTTCTCTCCATGTACTTAAGTTGGGCTACCTTTGTGGTTCTTTTCCTAGTTTCTTTAGGTATGAGGGTAGGTAAACTATCTGTACCTGTTCTTGTTTTCTGACAGACACCTATAGTGCTATGAACTTCCCTCATACTATGGTTTTTGCTGTGTCCTATAAATCCTGTAGTTTGTGTCTTCATTCTCATTTGTACTAGGAATTCTTTTCTTACATCCTCTTTGACTCAATGATTTCTCAGTAGTGTTGATGTGTTGGGGCTTTTCCCGGACCTCTCTGAAGTTAATATGAGAGGACACTTGCTTTTAAAGAACCATGTTAATCTGAGAGGACACTTATTAATGATTTCTATTTTCTTTATGTGATGGAGACTTGCTTTGTGTCCCAGCATGTGGTCTATTCTAGAAAATTATCCATGAATACTGAGATGTTTATCAGCTTTGGGGGATGTTGTCTATTAAAGTCTTCTCTTCTATTTCTTTCTCTAAGACTATTTTGTGAGGTTGATCTATCCAATAGCAGGAGTATAGTAAAATCTTTAAATCTCCTACTAGCATTAATCCTATGGCTGGAGCGATAGCACAGTGGGTAGGGTGTTTGTCTTGCATGTGGCCAACCTGGGTTTGATTCCTCTGACCCTCTCGGAGAGCCCAGCAAGCTACCAAGAGTATCCCATCCGCATGGCAGAGAATGGCAGCTCCCCATGGCGTATTCAATATGCCAAAAACAGTAACAACAAGTCTCACAATGGAGACATTGCTGGTGCCCGCTTGAGCAAATCGATGAACAGCGGAAGGACAGTGGACAGTGCTACTAGCATTATATTATCGTAGATATTTTTCTTCGAACTCAGGTTGTCGGCCATGTTCGCCGCTTGTAAGGCAAATGCCCTACCGGAGCGATAGCACAGCGGGTAAGGCGTTTGCCTTGCAAGCGGCCAATATGGCCAACCCAAGTTCGATTCCTCTGCCCCTCTCGGAGAGCCCAGCAAGCTACCGAGAGTATCTCGCCCGCACGGCAGAGCCTGGCAAGCTACCCGTGAAGTATTCGATACGCCAAACACAGTAACAACAAGTCTCACGATGGAGATGTTACTGGGCCCGCTCAAGCAAATCAATGAACAACGGAAGACCCGTGATCAAATCCGTGATCCGTGATTTTTCTTCAGGCTCACTAGTACTTTTCTTTAAACATATTTTGCTGCTCCTTTGTTTGGTGCATGATGTGAATTTTCTTGGTGGATTGTCCCTGTGTTTTCTTACCCTCTTCAAACGGAAGATGAATTGGTTTACCATAAAAATGTTCTGCTGTGTCAGTGCTTGTAGCTGACTTTACCAGTCCCAACCCATGCCAGGCATATGCCAAGCACTGGTGGTAAAGGTGGTTCAAGCTGAGAGAAGCACTCTTTTTTCAAGTCTTTTTTCTCCCACGCTCCCCACTTTACCCAGCCACAGAAACATCTTCACTCCCCCATATCTACAGTGAAAAGACAGCTGCTAAGGACAGAAAGGTTTTACCAAAAATTAGGCCATTTTATCAGTCATCTCCTGGACTTCCATCCAGAAATGTTCAAAAATAAATGTCATTTGGGACCGGAGTGATAGTACAGCAGGTAGGGCATTTGCCTTGCACGTGGCTGACCTGAGTTCAATCCCCGGCATCCCAGATCATCTCCCCAGCACTGCCAGGAGTAACCCCTGAGCATTGTTGGGTATGACCCAAAAAAGCATAAAAGAAAAAAGTCATTTAAGCAAATATAAAAATTAATTTTCTGAGCACACACACACAAAAAAATGGTCATCCTCATTTTTTTAGCTTGTTATCCTATATGACTTCTCTAGTTTTTTATTTTGAGTCTGTGTTATGAGGGTTTGAGGGCATCATACATAAGCAGCAGAAGATTGGGTTCATTTTTCTGATCCATCCAGTCACTCTGTGCCTTTTGACTAGCAAGGTTCAGGTCAATGATATTAAACAAAAGTATTAAAATTTCAAAAAATTAATGTCATCTTTCTGTATGGGTTCAGGACACTTGTGGAGTCTTTGTTCTTTGACCTTTCATATGAGACCATTTAGTGGATCTGGCTTTATCAAGTTAGTGACCAAGAATTCCTTTAGCTGTCAGTGAAGTTTTTACTGCACAAATTTTGAATATTAATGTCACTGAAAGAAATATTCTTGTTTGGATGCCTATTTCCTTAAGTGTGTTATATATATCATAACGTTCTCTTCTAGCCTACAGAGTTCCATTTGAAAGATCTACTGTAATTTTTATGGGGCTCCTTTAGAGGTAATTTTTTTGGTTTACTACTTCTGCTTTCCCAATAATATATCTTCAGGATATTTCCATTTGATATTTTGTTTATTTTTTGGTTTTTTGGTTGAGAATTTCTGCATCTATATCATCGGGCATGTTGGCAGCAGTTGTTTTTAGTATGTGATATTCTTGATATCAAGTTAATATTGGTCTCATAAAACATATTAGAAAATATACCTTTGCCGACTTTTTGAAAAGAGTCTTAGGTAACAGATGCCAAACCATGATTTAAACTCTAACTGTGAAGACAAAATATCAAAAAAAGTAAAATAAATGATGAGAGAAAATATGTGCTAAATTTACTAACTTTTCAGAGTAATTTTACTCATCTCATTAGAGGTAAGGAAAGGAAGAAATCAATCATTAGGTTATAGTCTTGGCATCTTCTAAGTAATTAATTTATTTTAATAAAATATCTTGCTTACAATTTACCCATAATCAACAAAGTCACATAAGAAAATCAAGCCAATAATCATTATGATTCACTAACTCTATACAAATAAAAATGTGTATTTTTTTGACACGATAACATTTTCCTTTTTTTGTTTTTGTTTTTGGAATACACGTGGTTGTACTCAGAGGCTTCTTCTGGCTCTGCACTCAGGAATCACTCCTGACAGGCTCAGGGGATCGTACGAGATGCCAGGGACTGAGCCCAGATGGACAATATGCAAGACAAGAGCCTGACCCACTGTACTATCTCTCTAACTCCAGATAACATTTTCTTAACTAATGTTTAAAGCTGGTATTTTAAAGTAAAAACTGAGTAATTTAGATACTTTCTGTTTAGACAAGCATCATCAAAGCACCCTAGAAGTCTCTGTAATTTTTAAGAATACTTGTGATCATCTGACATTTTTCTCAGTGGATTTTTTACCTTAAATGACAAATACCAGTTATCTCTCAGCACAGAAAAATCAGTTACTGATCAGCATTATAAAGATTTAAATATAAGAAAGAAAGAGAGATTACTAACCTGTTGATCTACTGAATCCCCTGCACCTTTTAAAGACTCTGTGGAGATGGAAGCAGCAGTCACCCCAGAACTCTTAGCTTTAACATTAGCCTTTGGACTCATCGACTTGTGCCTTGACTTGATGTTTCCTTCTGTAGAAATTCCTAAGGATTTCCATAAAAAATATTTCAAAATTGTATCTTCTTATTCTCTTAAACCCGCTCCCCTCCCATTATTTTTCTTCCTAGACACCCTACACTTTATGGAATATGACAGAGAAAACTCTGTAAATTTCATTTAAGCTCTCAGTAAACAATCATAAAAAGATTGTTTTGACAACATTAAAGATACAACTTAAATATTTCTGAAAGGTACGTTGTAACTATTCTCAAGTAAAATTAAAACAAATAAATTAAAACATGTCTTTTTATAGCATAGTGCTAGGGCGTTTGCCTTGCACACCCAACCAAGCCAGGTTCGATTCCTCCGCCCCTCTCAGAGAGCCTGGCAAGCTACCAAGAGTATCTCGCCCACATGGCAAAGCCTGGCAAGCTACCCGTAAAGTATTCTATATGCCAAATACAGTAACAACAAGTCTCACAATGGAGATGTTACTGGGCCCGCTCAAGCAAATCGATGAACAATGGGAGGATAGTGCTACAGTGCTACAGTGCTAGAGGGGAGAGTAGTATCTTATTTTTCACATAATTATGGTACCCAAAGGGTTCCAATTTACTTCTCTAGTCAACAACCAGTAATCTGTAACAAGTCTATGACATTACCAAGAAATTTCCATACTTTTCTTTGAAATATGAAATTATTCAGAATAAAAATAAGACTATTTTGTTTTGGGGGCCACCCCTGACAGTGCTCAGGGATTACTCCTGCCTCCATGCTCAGGGATCACTCCCAGAATTGTTCAAAGGACCACATGCAGTGCCAGAATGAAAGTAACGTTGACCTTGTGCAAAGCAAGCACCTTAACCCCTGTACTATCTTTCTAGCTCCTTTGTTCTTTATAGATAAATGAAGTATTTTCCAATCTCATCAAAAGTTGACTTGCCCAACCAGTCCCTAAGGTAAGGAAGTATTTCTATTTTAAAATTTTATTGTAGTTTACTAGAATTGCAAGTGTTCAACTTTATGATATTGATGTACAAAGTTACTGTACATCACCCCACTGAAGTGCCCACAATATTCTCCCCTCTCCCTACGTCGACTCTTCTGATCTTTCTTCCCTTCCACCCATTCCTCATTGTTTGCTAATTGGCAAAATGGTTTTGCAGCATGCTGTTACTTCCTTTAGCCACCCTCCATGTGTTTCAGATCTACACCTATGCCCTCTTGTTGCCTCCAATCAGTCTACTCATTTGCCACACCCTAGCCTCCCATACTGGCACTCTCAAATCTATAATCATGTCTAATATTTCAAATATTAAAGGGTCATGATACATATTTTATAAAGTTAGGTTCTAAGAACCATTATACCTATAAATTTGTCCTGAGGAATTTTTTCTCCTTACAGTTAAATGAAAAGGAAGCTTACAAAAGTAACATAAAAATCATACCTGGAACGTATACTACTGATTGTTCTTCATCAGACACTATGTAGAAATATATGAAGGAAAATACTAGAAAAGAATGTTCAATATTCAGTACTTACCAAAATAGTCAAGACAAGAAAACAACCCAAATGTCCAACTACAAATGAATGGATCAAGAAATTGGGTTTTATTTACATAATTGTAAATATAAGTTGTAAGAAAGGGTGAAATCATGCAATTCGCTCCTACATAGATGGAACTAATGGGTATCACGCTAAGAGAAGTTAATCAGAAGAAAAAGGATAGACACAGAGTGATGATCTCTTTATATAAAGAAACATTACGTGATTAATAAATGTCCAGAAGAAACATCTGGAGAGTTGGACCATAGAATTGAGTCTGGAAAGGCTCCTTTCACTGGTGGAGGGAAGCAGGGGGCTCTCTGGTGGTGAGTTTGGTGTTGAAAGTATTGTGTATGAAGCTATCAGTACCAGTATTGTATATATAAGTACTTCAATAAAATAAAAATAATATTACTCTTCACGCCCTACCGAGGTCACGAGTTGCCCCCCATGAGCGGCTCTCTGGCATGGCCATGGCTCCAGAAGCACAAGGACTTAATGCAGAGCCTGGCAGCTTGTGGCAGAAAAGTTAATGGACTACACGTTAATCCACGGTAATATGCCTGCCCGGGAGGGAAAGGATGTTGCTCTCTTCCTCCTTTTTCCTCCTGGACAGCAAGATGGCGGCCTCCTCGGAGCTTTCTGGAAAGCCAGGTATGAGCTGGCGGTGAAGGGACAACTGAAACCTCATGGGAAGATGGGGCATTCCCGGCTCATCCTTCACGCCCTACCAAGGTCCTGAGTTGCCCCCCACGAGCGGCTCTCCGGCACAGCCATGGCTCCAGAACCACAGAAAACAATCTTGTAATTATCTGGCTCATGAAAGAAATACCTCCAGGCTTAATAAGTAAAATATCAGAAATCCAAATTCGCACGGCCGCTATAGAGGCCGCACGACATCATATGGTTCTCATAACTAATTGTAGAAAACAAATTATTTCACAATGCCTTTTCAGCAGTTCTGATTGTTGGGTATAAACTGTAAACAATAATGGTTCATCTTTTGTCGAAATAATGAACATAATCAAAGTAGATAGAGTGTTAGGTAGAATTCATCTGCCTCACAGGCACTGGGAGGGGTGGCAGGGGGGCATATTTGGATTCTTGGTGGTGAAAAATAAATACTGTTGAAGGGAAATGTGTTTGATCATTGCATAACTGAGACTTAAACCTGAAAGCTTTGTAACTTTTCCCACAGTGATTCAATAAATAAATATAAAAAAAAATAATAATCTTACTACCTCAAATGTCCAATAGCCAAATGCTATTTCTCTCCTGCACTTCCTGTAAGTCATAATTTTGTCTAACCCAAAATTTACAATTGGCTTTCGAAAGCAAAATTAGAAAAAGAATGCAATTGAATAAAATTAATATATTTTTTAAAAAATCATCTTTACATTTTATATATTTTAAATTTTTTTCTATTTAGGCACTGACATTACCAGTATTGATTTACAATATTGGTAATGCCAGGGTTTTATGCAAAAACCATTCCAACAACACACTGTCCACCAGAGTATCAGCTTCCCTCCAGCAAGTCTCAGTGTGTCCCCCACCCCCCAAAATACCTTACTCCCCTGATATTGTAACATACTTCCTGTTAAAGACTAACAATTATATTCTTTGTGAAAAGTTTTGAATACTTTGTTATCCATGCCTATTTCCAAGGCAGACTGTTAGGGTCTTTTCACTGATTTTCATTTTGTAAGTAAAGAGGCACATATTCTTGTTTGCCAACTATTGACACATTATTTTTGGCATAAATAATTTTTAAATGAGCTTTAGCTTTGAAAAACAAATTATTTGAGGGTAAATCAATCATACAACACAAAAGCAATTTTTAGTCTTTGGCAGTACATTCACAAAATGTCTGACTCCTACTATTTGAGAAGTGGAGAAAATCTAAAGAAATATTCTAAATTTCAAAAGGAAAAGCATTAAAAAGGCTAAAATCATATTATTATTGGACCTGTATCTCAAATCATAATGTCCAAAAAGAAGAGTGAGAGGGGCTGGAACGATAGCACAGTGGGTAGGGTGTTTGCCTTGCATGCAGCCGACCCGGGTTCGATTCCCAGCATCCCATATGGTCCCCCGAGCACCGCCAGGAGTAATTCCTGGGTGCATGAGCCAGGAATAACCCCTGTGCATCGCTGGCTGTGACCCAAAAAGAAAAAAAAAGGAAGAAGAGAAAGAGAGAGGAATCTGCATAGAGGCAGGCTGGGGTGGTGGGGGAAGTGGTGGTGGGAAATATAACTGACTGCACTCATCTGTGGAATATAAAGTAACATAATATGAGACTAACACCTAAGGACAGTAGACAAAAGGACCATGGTTTGGAAGCCGGCTCCACATGCTGGGGGAAAAGGCAGTTGTGATGGAGAAGGAACCACTAAGTAAATGATGAGTGGAGGCATCACCCAGGATGGGAGATGTGTGCTGAAAGTAGACCAAGGACCAAACACAATGACCTCTTACTAATTGTATTGCAAATCATAATGCCCAAAATAAGAAAGTAAGAAAGACTGTACCTGCCACAGAGGCAGGGAGTGGGGTAGGGTGGGGGTGGTGGTGGGACACTGGGAACAATGGTGGTGGGAAATGTGCACTGGTGGAAGGATGGGTCCTTGAGCATTGACTGTAAGGTTATCATGCAAGTTTGTAACTGTATCTCACAGTGATCCAATAAAACTTCTTAAAAAAAACTGATACACAATCATGAACAACTTTGTAACTGTGTATCTCATGGTGATTCAATTAAAAAAATACCTACTATTGAAAGAAAAACAATAAAATAACAAAACTTTTTATCCAGGAACAAAATTTTATTGAGAACTGTATCTATATCCAGACTACCTTACAACTTTCTAGAACACTTGTAGAAAGGATGAATCTATTATTTTATCCAAAGATCCAGAAAGTTCCAAAATTTTCTATTTCTTCATAAAATATTTTCCCCAAAATTTCTAGACTATTTCCTTGCTAAGAAATGCAGGTTAAAAATGATTTTAATAATATTCAAAAATTCAATTTCAGGGGTCTGGAGTACAGAAGATAGGCACACAGCCTGACATGGCTGACCCAGGTTAGATTCCTGACACCCCACATGGCACATGAGTCCTTCTGAGTCTCATCAGGTTTGATCCCTGAGAACACTGTCAGAAGAAAACCCTGAACACCACTCAGTGTGGCTCCATAAAACAAAGTTTAAAAAAAAAATCAATTTCAGCTCAGGATCTACTCTTGTCATGTGTTTTTAGAGAATGCTGACTGAAAAATTAAAATCTCTCAAACATTGGGGTTCGAGATTAGAAATTTTTTAAAAGCATAATTATAAGTAACAGAAGAATTACGTTCCACAACTGAAAAGAAAGTGATATACACTTGAAAGACTTCAAGTTCACTTTTAAAACAATCTAAATTTAAAAGAAAAAGTAAAACACTCAAAACCTTCTCCAGCGTGAGTGAATGGCAATTCCATTCCTCCATCTGCCCAGGCCAAGAGCACGGGAGTTATTTTTTTACTCCTATTTTTATTATAATTCATACTCTGAAAATCTTACCGACTCTACCTTTAAAATGTATCTGCAGTCCAACCACTTATCAATGGTATTATCAACACTATTACTTTACCTGGTTACCTTTTCCTTTCATCAGGATTACTACAATAACCTTGAACTGATCTCTTATTTGGGGGGCATGAGCCTTGAACATCCCATTCTGCACACAATGGTCAAAATGATTTTTTCCCTTTTTTTCTTTTTTTGCTTTTTGGGTCACCATCCGACAATGCTCAGGGATTACTCCGGGCTCTGTACTCAGGAATTACTCCTAGTGGTGTTTGGGGGGACATATGAGATGCTGGGGATCAAACCCTGGTCAGCCACATGCAATGCAAACGCCCTCCCTGCTGTACTATTGCTCCAGCCCTGATCTTTTTTCTTTAAAAAACAAACACTAATTTGTGGTACACCCTGCAGTGCTCACAGCTTATTCCTAGCTCTGTGCTCAGAGATCACTCCTGGTGGGTTCAGGGGACCACATGGGGTGCCAGGTATTGAACATGGGTCAGCTGCATGCAAGCGCCCACCCACCCAACTTTGGCGCTAGCTCTTCAAAATAATCTTTTTTTTTTTTGCTTTTTGGGTCACGCACAGTGATGCTCAGGGGTTACTCCTGGATCATGCACTCAGGAGTCACTCCTGGCAGTGCTCGGGGGACCATATGGGATGCTGGGAATTGAACCTGTATTGGCCATCTTGGCTGCGTGCAAGGCAAACGCCCTACCCGCTGTGCTATCGCTCCAGCCCCAAAATAATCTTTTTAAAGCACGTTACTTCTAATTTATATGACAAGTCAAAGTATTTACAGGGGTCTAAAATGCTTGAGATCTTATCTTTCCACTCTAAAAAAACATGTTTCCACTCTGACTTCATATCCTATTATTTACCTAATTTATTCCTGGCTTATTTACCATGGCTTATGAGTTATACACAAGCTCCTTGTAAGAGTTTTGGCATTTATAAATTCTTTCACCTAAGTATCTTCACAACTCTCTCCTTTACATCCTTTATGATGATGGTCTTATGTTACCTCTTCAATGGAGGCAGTATTCTCCCTTTCCTTCCTTTAACTATCCATCCTCTCAACACCTTACAAAACACACACATACACACACAATACACACCCCATCAAAATGGATATCCTTTTCATGTCTTACTTTTATCTAAAGTACCTAAAATATTAAAACAGGTATGATATATTTTATTTACTGTTGACTTCAGGCTGGAGCGATAGCACAGTGGGTAGGGCATTTGCTTTGCATGTGGCCGACACGGCCAACCTGAATTCAATTCCTCTGCCCCTCTCAAAGAGCCTGGCAAGCTACTGAGAGTATCTTGCCTGCACGGCAAAGCCTGGCAAGCTACTCATGACGTATTCGATATGCCAAACCCTGTAACAAGAAGTCTCACCATGGATATGTTACTGGGCCTGCTCAAGCAAATCGATGAACACCAGGAGGACAATGCTACAGTGCAATGTTACTTTTGACTTCATCTTAGTTCGCTAAAAATACTGAGAGGGGTTTTTATCATTTTGGTTTTTAAGTACTGGGAGGGTTTTTTTTTTATTGTTTTGGTCAATGACATATTGTCAAACATCAAAGAATCTCTCATAGAAAACCATCTGTGATATAATGAATTTGACATTCACTTAATTTTGTGTATCACTATCCAACAACTTTCATTATTGCCTTTCTCTCTTCATTCTATTAAAATATACAGGTAAATAGGGACAGTGATATCAGGAAGTGATTCCTGAGCACAGAGCTAGGGGTAAGATGAGGAGTGTCAGGTGTGCCGAGAAAAAAAATACACACACACACAAACACACACAAGCCCACAGGGAAAGAGAGTCTAAGCTCATTTGTAACATCTATATTAAATTTCTTTTCAAAGAAAAAAAAGCTACCAAAAAAATTACTAAAGTCTGAAAACTATCTGAAATTATCTCAATCCAACATAAAAGAATATATGTAATCTACCTTTATCACATTATCTTAAGAATCTAAATACTTAATTTCTTTGAATAAAGTGATTTCTAACAACCATATATTTCATGAGAAAGTCAAGAGACAATATATATCAAACATATTTGAACTTTGTATCAGGTTACATGTACCACCTTAGTTCTACTTTGGTTTCTCAGGAGGCACCTCAATAATGTGAATGCACCACATTACAAAAAAGATCCTCAATCATTAATGATGGTACCAATCTATTCAAATACCCAGAATAAAATAAAGGACAAAAAATGTACAAAAAAACTACATCTACACAATAAAGGTAAAGGTAAAGGCCCTCCCGTTGATCGTCGATTTGCTCGAGCGGGCCCAGTAACGTCTCCATTGGAGACTTTGTTGTTACTGTGTCTGGCATATCGAATACTCTCGGTAGCTTGCCGGGCTCTCCGAGAGGGGCGGAGGAATCGAACTCGGGTCGGCCATGTTGGCCGCTTGTAAGGCGAACGCCCTACCGGCTGTGCTATCGCTCCATCCCACACACAATCTACACAATACTGGGATCTAAAAAAAAAATACATCTACACAATACTGGGATCTAAAAAAAAAAAAAAAAGCCAACTGAGGACTAGCTACTCTAAATTTTTGAGACACCAGCAACAAGTGTATATAATTATCATCTATAATCACTTTCCTGGAGAGTATTTAATATCAACATAAAGTCTGTTTTTAATTGAATATTCAATGGCAGAGATTACAGTTATTTAATGCTTTTTCATTTGCTTGATTTTAGGGTCACACCTAGCAGTGTTCAGGTCTCATTCCTGGCTCAGGGATCACTCTGCAGTGGCAGGAATTGATAAGTTGCCTAAATGCAAAATAAGTGCCTACCTGCTATACTATCTTTCCAGTCCTACTTAATGTTGGTTCTAGGTACCTAATAGCTCATATTTCATTCATATTTGTTCATATTGGTTAATATCAAGTTATCATTACTGTTGCCTTGCATGCAGCCAACCTGGCCAACCAGGGTTCAATTCCTCTACCCCTCTCAGAGAGCCCAGCAAGCTACTGAGAATATCTCACCCTCACAGCAAAGCCTGGCAAACTACTGTGACATATTCAATACACCAAACACAGTAACAACAAGTATCACAATGGAGATGTTACTGGGCCCACTGGAGCAAATCCATGAACAATGGGAGGATAGTGCTACAGTGCTACTATTACTGTTAATGATCACATTCTTGACAGCATTTAAGCAAATTTAGATAGTGCAGAAATACTAACTTTTCAGTACCAGAAACTATAATGAATAAAAGTAGTTTACAAAGGCGGTATGTCACTCACATATGTGTGTATGTATACAAACTCTGCAAACGACAACATGGCACTGTTTACACACTAGGTACAAAGACATGCCTTGTGCAAAACAGTACTGTTGAATCACAATGTAGAGGAAATGTGAAACTCATAAGAACAACAGTTTAAAAGAAAGGTCACATTCTTCAGTCACAAATGATCTGTCTTCACATGACGAAAATTTAGACACTGGGAAATTTCTTAATCACTTCTCTATTTGCAAAGAGCAAAGCAATGACTTTTTTTTTAATAGTGTGAAAAGAATGCCAGAATATAAATACACAGCTTATCTGTTAAAAGTTCTATTGAAAAAACTCTTGGGTGGTTTGCTAAATCATCCATACGACAAGAAAAGAATTTGAGTCAAAGACACATGACTATGTCAATGATTACTATCCTTGTGATTTTTAGTAAAGATTGGTAACATATTTATATTGCCATGGTTCATACATTCTTCTCAGGGCGAATGCTAATTGGCTGTGTGGAATACACTGGGCAACCAGGTGACTTTACTAACCCTGTAAATCTTTTCACACATCTGAATTTTTGTAAGATATAGTCCACATTTTCCCCATAAACTTTTAATCCACGTTCAAGTGGAAGGTGGATATTTTACATTAATTTTAAGAGTAAGGGAGAGTGCATAAGAAAAGACAGGATTTCTACATTAAAAACGGTATGAGAAGACTGCAGGAATAAATGAGCAAAGGCCTGTAAGACTAAGGTCCAGTTCACACATATACCTGAAAATTTATTCATTTCACGACAACAAAATGCCCCTCCCCCAGCATAACATACTCTTTTATTGTATATCAGAACAAAACCATCACTGGTCCTAAGGAAAGTTAAGGAATTGTAACCAAAACCACATAGGTAGTTATAAAAAGCACACTGAAGTGGCACATTACAAATGAAAAACCTTCAAATAGCTTCTGTCACCAAAGACTGTAAATTACTGAGCCAGAGAGAGCAGGTCGGTCATGAGAAAAAATTCATCCTAACTTTCGGATGTCCTAATTCAGCCCAGTTTGCAATACATGCATTCTCTTTGCATGCCTACTAATAGGTAAATGGGGGGGGGGGGGGGTAATTGTAACGGTCCACTAATGAGTACTCATTCAGTGTACGGACATAATTTTGTTTCATTCTGACTAACCTATCAGAGACCAGAGGCAATTACTTTTAGAAAACTCCTGGCCCTTAAAACACTGAGCAGCATAAATGACAAAAAAAAAAAAAAAAAAAAAGCAAAACATGTTATCCCCAGTGAGTCAGTAAGGGAAACCGACGATACAATTTTGTAAGTTTCACCGAGCTCCAAGTAGCTCGGCCCAATGGACCGAACAGCAGGCCTCCAACAAATGCAATCACCAATCCAGGCAGAGAGGAGGATGAGCACCAGCAGGTCTCCCCCCAACACCGACTGCCTTCCTTTCCTGCAACACTCCTCTCTCAGGAACATGAGTGAGCAGGGAGCAAAGCGCGGGCCGGAACACACTCCCAAGCTCGGGGAAAGGACCACGCGAGGTGTCATCCTCATCACCGATCAGCATCAGTACCGGAGGGGAGGAAACCCCAGTTGCTGCGGGGCGCTGAAACAGTCCCAGAACTTCACACAGGCTGGCTCTGACTGTACCAAGCGACAAGTCCTCAACGGTTCCCAAGGGCTCCCGTCTTGCTCCTCCCAGACCGGGTCGCGCGCGGCGCCACCCAAGCGCCGGCGCGTCTCAGGAAACCCCCGGCCAGTCAGAGACATCCTCGGTCCGGGAGGGTCTTCGAAGTCCCACACTGAACAGACTCGCTCCAAGTGCGACACCCCCACCCCCACCCCAAGCAAACACCTTTTCCTCCTCCTCCCCTCGCGCCTCAGGACACCCTCGGTGGGCCGGGGACCCCCGCCACAGGCAAGGGACCGAGCCGTCCACCGAGAGGCCGCGCCGCGCTGGCGAACATTTCTGGAGAGGGTACCCGCCCCCCACCACCCGATGATGCCACCTAAGAACCCCGAAGCGGGAGCGGTGGGGGGGGGGGGGGGACCACGGGCATCACCGAGGCAGCGGCGGCCCGCCAGCACGGCCCCGCCCCCCCGCCCCGGGACGAGCGCCGCGTTTCTCCGCTCCGCTGAGGCGGTCCCACGCGGACACTCGCCGCCGGGCTGCCCCCACCCACGGCCAGCGGGACCGGCGCCCGGCGCCCCCTGCCCGGCGGGCAAAGGATACGGTCCCGGGTCCAGAACGCCGCCGCGCCCCGGCGGGAGGGGCCCGCCGCGGCCGCCATCTTGAAACAACCGCCACTCGGGGCGTAGCGCCGCGGCCGCCACGCCCCGTCCTCCACAGCCGGCCCCCATTGGCCGTGGGGCGCCGAGGCCCGCCCCCGCCTGCGGGTCCGGCCTCGGCGGGCCGGGAAGGGCCACGCCCCGTCCTCCAGAGCCGGCCCCCATTGGCCGTCGGGCGCCGAGGCCCGCCCCCGCCTGCGAGTCCGGCCTCGGCGGGCCGGGAAGGGCCAGGCTGAGGCGCCGCAGTGTCGGGGCAACGCGGCGTCGGCCGCTCGCCGAGACCTCGGGGACGGGTGCCCGGCGGGGCTACCGCTCCGCGCTCTTCCCCGCATCTCCCCGTCGCCGGGCTTTCAGGCGCCGAGCTGTCGGGCGCCGTGCACTACAACTCCCGGCATGCCGTGAACCTGACGGCCGAGGCGCCCAAGCGACGTCCGGGCCACCTGCCCGGCCTGCTCTCCCGCCGCCTCTCGGCCGCCGTGCTGACCGCGCGCGGGACGGCCGCGCGGGCCATGGAGGAGCCGCCGGACCAGCCGCTGGGCGCCTGCACCAGCAAACCGCATCTGGAGAAGCTCACCCTGGGCATCACCCGCATCCTCGGTGAGTGCCAGCGGGCGCGGCAAGCCGGGGTCCGAGGGGCGTCGGCGCGTCGAAACCGCGGCTCGCACGCTGCGGGGGTGCGTCGCTGCTGCGAACTCGGTCGAGGAGAGGCGGGTGCGGGACTGGGCCCACCCAGGGTCCCCTCCCCCTCCCGAGCCCCTGCTCGAGCGTTACGGAGCAGAACCGGGAAGCCCTGAGCTCCCTCCCCAACCCCCCACCGAGCGCCCCGCACCGAACCTTGGAAGGACGCAGAGGGACAAGAGGGACGTTTGACAGCTGAGCGGTTGGGTCTCAACGGGAGGCAAATTCTTTGAACATGAAGCCCTTTTTACAAGAGGAGAGATGGGGATATGGGGCCCTTCATGTAAGAGAGGAGAGATGGGGAGGTGGGGACCCTTAATCTAAGACAGGAGAGATGGAGTGTGGGTGCCCTTCATGAAGAGAGGAAAGATGGGAAGTGGAGAGATGGAGGGATGGGGACCCTTCATCTAAAACAGGAAAGATGGGAAGTGGGGACCCTTTATCTAAGACAGGAGAGATGGGAAGTGGGGACCCTTCATCTAAGACAGGAGAGATGGGAAGTGGGGACCCTTCATCTAAGACAGGAGAGATGGGAAGTGGGGACCCTTCATCTAAGACAGGAGAGATGGGAAGTGGGGACCCTTCATCTAAGACAGGAGAGATGGGAAGTGGGACCCTTCGTCTAAGACAGGAGAAACGATAAGTGGGGACCCTTCGTCGATGGGGAGGAGGGGACTCTTCATCTAAGACAGGAAAGATGGGAAGTGGGGACCCTTCATCTCAGGGAGGAGGGATGGGCAGGTGGGGATCCTTGGTCTGGGAAAGGAGAGATGTGTGTGTGTGGGGGGTGGGGGGGGGGGGTGGGATCTATCGAAGGTGTTAAGGCAGCCCATAACTTCATAACTTGCCAGGCCCTACGTACTTGCTCATGAAGTTGTTCAAGGGGACTCTTGGTCCATATTTGCCTTTCATCAGACCTCCTTTTTGTAGCCATCACTCTGTTTTGGGGCCACACCCAGCTGTACTCAGCACTTATTCTTGACTCTGCGCTCAGAGATCACTCCTGGTGGGGTCTTTCGGGACCACACGGGGTGACTGGGATTGAACCCTGGTCTATCATGTGCAAGGACCAAAGCCACCAATGTCTTAGACATCAGGGCCACAAAGAAGAAAGCATAACCATGCCACACTCGAGTGCAGAAAAAATATATATACAAAAACTAGGAGGCTGCAGTGGAGCAGCGTCTTAACGCTCAGACAGAGCACCCAGGAGGTGTTTGCAGCCCTGATCTAGGGGTTAAGGTGTGTTTCACAGGAGAAGATGCTAGATTTAGATAGACAAATGGAGAGGAGGAGATGATTGTAGCCACAAAAGCAAGGAGGAGAAAGGTGTAAGCAGGCTGGGTAGCCTCTGTTCTTGCCTTCCATTGTAGTTAGATTCAAGTCCAGGCCCACAATCCCTTATGCTCTGCCCTCATCTTTTTTTTACCTTATTTTCACTATTGCTAGCACAGTGGCCTCCTAGATCTAGCATGAATCCATTGAACATGTTCCCTCCTAGATCTTTTGCAATTTTCCATACCCTTCCCAGGAAATTATCTTCCCTGAGATGTCTCTCCCATTCTGATCTCTAGTTAAATGCTATGACCTTAAATTACCTTCTTTGAATATAGTTCTAATAACACTTCCCTATCACTCTTCCCTTATCCTGCATTATTTTTATACTGATGGCACTTTTCACTACTTGAAATACGTATTTATTTATTGATTACCATAACACACTCACACAGCCTCCTTTCCTTCCCTTTGTTGTTTGTTGTGTGCACCGTGTCACCCATTTGGTTGCTGCTCTCACACACTTGGTTGCAGTTGTGGGAGGGGCTGGTTCACGGTTCACATACTTGAGGCATCGATCACACCAGCAGAGCCAGGGACCACTCAGTGGGCCTGTGGTGGGACTAGAGCTCACGTGCTCATGAAACAAGGCAGGTGCTTGAGCACTCAGTCATGTCCCTGGGCCCTGTTTGGTTGCTTCCTGAGAACAGGAGCTTGGTCTTGTTTTCCCCTGTACAGGTCACCTGTAGCTGAGCTAGGCATTGTACTTGATATCAGTAAGTTGTCATATCAATGGGAAAAAGAGTTGATTCCGGTCTGTGTAAGTGTGCGTATTATCCCCATGTCTTTGGAGGCGGAGAGTTGCAGAATTCCTGGGTTCCTCCAGGTATTCTGGTTTCCTTCCACACCCCAAAGATACACACATTAAACTCCTTGGTGTGTCTAAGTGTGTGTGTGTGTGTGTGTGTGTGTGTGTGAGAGAGAGAGAGAGAGAGAGACAGAGACAGAGACATCTAAAGGAAGATAATTTCTCAGATGGAAGAACATTTAGGCCTGGTTCCCACCTTGAATCCTCATACACCCAACTACCAATGATCCTGAACTAGTATAAACAAATTGAAAAAGTGAAATAATGACTGTTTAATAGTAGAAATGTGTCTAGTCTTTATTTAAAAGTTTGGTGTTTTTGTGACCAGAAATAAAATACGCTGTAGGAATTTAATTCAGACATTGAAATACAAAAAAAAAAAAAAAAAAACAAAGAGGGAGGAAGAAATGATAAAGATAAATCCTCAGAGATGATGCCTCAAGTTCTCAAAGTGTGGAAGAACAAATAATTTATGAAATCAAAAGAATTATACTGAGATCAAACCTTTAAAACTGACATTCAAAGCAGTAAAGCAATAGAACCCCATTTTAAGAACATTCAGTGAAAAGAACCAAAGAGTTTATCTTCAGCAAGCTATCAAATAAAAGAAATTTAGTAATTCTACACTCATGAGCCCTTCCAGAGGAGTCTAGTAGAAGATTGTTTTACCATTCAAGTATAAATTAGGATCAGTTCAGCAAAACGACTAATGGTTGTGAGCACCATTTACTTACAGACACGTAAGTACACAAAAGTGCACGTAAGTGCACAAAATCTACATATGTATCTATTTTTAAAAGATATTTTAAAAGGCTAAAACAGGGTGTGATGAAGAGTAAAAGATTAAGGCACTGTTATCTAGAAAAACTGAAAGCGCATTTTAAAAGGATGTAAGTACAAAGGTAGCTGTTGTGATTGGCAGGATTCTAAAATGACTTTCATGTTCCTATGTAATCTTTTACTCTTGAGAATGGGCATGATTTGTGGATATGACAGGTGTCGTTCCATTGCTTAAATGAAAGCTTCTTAAACTGTCCGTCACAATCCCATATGGAATTATGTAACTGAATATGGAGGTGGCAAACAATTTGGCAACAGTATCAGATTTCTGAATATTCAACAACCAAAAATTAATTCAAAATCAAACATATAACGAACCCGAGGTGTTTCTGGCAGCACTCAACCAATTGCATGGCTTTCCTGCAGCTTTGTTTCTGCGCACACCTCACACACATGCTTTGCCTAGGGTCCTGCCAGAAACAAACCCTCAGATTCAGGAACACCGGTGCTATGAGGTCATGTTACCACACACACACAGTTTCCTGCTCTCAAAGAAATATACATGATCGTGTAATTATAGACAATAAAGACAGTATTTTTCTTGTGCCATTCCCCAGCATGCATCAAGTTAGTATATTTTGGTTTAGATTAGAATGTTGAAGTTTCAAAAACTGCTGTTACAAAGGGTAGAAAGGTCAGGGGTTAGAGTACCTTGTGGAAGGCCCATGTTTGAACCCTGGGACCGTATGGTCTCCCAGCACTTAAGGAGTTAATGAGGTATCATAATTCCTGCTGCCTTTAAAATGTTAGAATTAATACTTCCTGGGGGAATCCTCAGTATGGGGGTGAAATTCATAAAATTCCTTTATCAAATGATATAATTTCCAGAGAATTTCTGAAACTAGTAATTACCAGTTAACAGCTGATCAGGTTAAGGACAGGCCTAAATTTGCATTTCAGTTGGTTGAAACAATATTTCTCATATGGCACAGTTACTTAATGTAAGATGTGCTCATGAATGAGGAGTTGTATTATTGTCTTTGAATAGTTATTCAAGAAGGGAAAATACATGTCTTTTGTTCATTTTCTTTTAACATGGTTACAGTAGTGTTAACATTTAAGTTTTTTTTTTTATTTTTCCTTTTTGGGTCACACCTGGCGATGCACAGGGGTTACTCCTGGCTCATGCACTCAGGTATTACTCTTGGCGGTGCTCAGGGAACCATATGGGATGCTGGGAATTGAATCCAGGTTGGCCGCGTGCAAGGCAAATGCCCTACCTGCTGCACTCACTCCAGCCCCCAACATTTAAGTTTTTGATGAACATTTGGTAGGACCTTTACCACCATCAGGGTGCCTAAGGCCCTCTACACTGTGATCTTTCATCACTTCCAATCTAACTCCCATGTCATTGCTCCCCACACTGTGTAGTAATCTTAGTTTGGGAGACCGAGGCATGGGGTTTTTATTGTTCTATACTGTCAG